TTTGAACATAATAAAATATCTATTTCAGCTATAATTATTTTATAAGTTTACGTTATAGGTAAAGACAATATAGAATAAAATAAAAATAAAAAACATAGATGCACAGGAGCTGGCTGTTTACACTTTTACAGGTGGTATAATTATGTAATCGTTTTCTTTGTTTAAAATCAGACAAATTTTCCTAAGGCAAACTATGTATGTGGCACCGTTTTACTTAGTTATCATTTTAATTTCTTTAATGATTTTACATAATTTTACATAACGCCATCATGCACAAAACAATTATGATAATACGGTATTTTATGGTAGATCAAAACAGCCGACTTTATTTTTTTCAATTTTTATATCAAGTAAAATTACAGTTGTATAATAATAAATGTACATACGAATAATTACAAAAAAGTCCATTGTATCATGATATTTTTGTTTTGTATAGTAAGGTTGTGAATACGACCATTCTAATCGGGCAATATAGAATTTTTCAATAATATTTCTTCTTTTTATTCTATTTCGGTCTATCAGAAGAAAATGATAACATTCTACTAGTAATTACTTCAATTAACACTATTTTTTATTTATGAAGTAATGATGTGTAAAACACGTTTTAAATGGAAATCGTGAAGATTCATCCGTCAATTATAATCACCTTTTGTAATGATATGCCATAACTCGTACTATGGAATCTCTTTGGTTTGATATAAACGCAAAGTGTATTCCAAATTAAGAACACTTTCCACCATGCTTTATGGCATTTGTATAATAACAAGCAGCGATTGTCAATCGAGAAAGACATAAATCCAGAGATGTAACGACTTAAAACCATTAACAAAAGATATAATTGGAATTAAAATAGACACAATGTCTGCACAATTTCCTCAATAAATCTAGATAACAAATCAAACCGATCACTTAAGTTGAAAGATGTATTGACTGTTTCAAAATGTTTCCTTATATAACGACAGTTATTTATTTAAGTGTTTGGCCTTTAATATTTACTGGAAAAATTTGTTTGAAAAACGATTATTCGCGCTTATCTTTCATCGAAAATTCACCTTTGATTCTTTTAAGTTGCACTGTGGAAACAACCTCATTTAGGTTAAGAAAGTGTACTAGTATTATTAATATTGTTGGGTCTAAACAAGATGTGTTCCCTTTGATTAAAATGTGTACTGATGATACTTAAAGTTATTTTGACAGCATTAGAAATACTGTATAGTGATCAGAAATTCCTGTCATCCACTCATATAGAGTAGAATATATGATGAGTGAATTTTGAAAATAATTGTTGTCCCTGACTGTTTGAAATTAATTCTTATTTTCCGATATACACAAAATGTACAATTTTAGCATAATGAATCATATTTACGTGACCTAAATATCTTTGTTACTTATAATCTTTATTAATACAAAATGTATTGTAATAATTGCATGTCTTAATGTACTAGTATAAGGAATAGTATCATAAGTGCTACGTATTACCAGTTAATTATGTAAATAATAATATTTATAATCTTACCACAGTTAAGAATTGGGACAATTCTTTTGAAAGGTGGGGATAGTGCTAGGCTGTTCCACACCCACTCCGTTTCATTGACAGCATTTGTTTACCATGCTGATACGATATTCAGTAAATTCAGCGATAATATTTAAACATTACATTATTTTCTCATCTTTAAATTAACTCATGATTGATTGTTTATATGTTCTTATATATGTCATTTTTCTTCATAATCAAATATTGTCTGAAATAAGTCCGCCATTTTGTTAACTATAATTATATCGTGACGTCACTGTTAACCCAGTTTTTACGGGAAACCCTACTTTCATTTTGACGTCATGTACACAAAGGAAGCATATAAATAGACCGGATTTTAAATAAAATTATTCATAACGGAAAAGATAATTGAAAGAGATAACTAAAATAGATAACAGAAAAGATAGAAGATATAAATTGACTAACACTATTAGAAAATGAAAGATAAAGATATAAAGGTATTGTAAGAAATATTTATTATATTTATTACATGTATTTGTTTATCAGAGCCTGTTGAATAAAATTATTATTCGAGTGAAACAAAAATTAAAAGAAATATTTAATTTTACAAATTTTTATAATCCTGACTCGGAACCTCCTCTATGTCCTGATGCAAGGTGACGACTATAAAAACGTTATACGCGTGTATTGTTAAATCTGTCGTATCTGTGCTTGTCTAAAATACATATGAATGGTTTCAACATAATTAAAAAGGACAAAGTATAACCTTTAAAGTGTTTAAACATACAAAGAAATATTTAAGTTCAGTTTGTTTAAATGAGCTAACAGTTAGTTGTTACAACATACATGAATTAGCAAATAAACATGATTAACTTTGAAATTACTTTTAGACCTGTTAGGTTTGGTAATATAAGACATAGGTCAACAAAAATAGTTTGAGCAAATTATTGTGTAAACATCCTTAATACAACCTACTCTAAAGGCCAATGTCGTGAAACATTTTATCGTGTCTTACATCGGTGACAAAGACTATATAACCTTTTCTAGATCTACTTTGCCGACATGTTAAATATTCGAGCATGTTTGACTACAATATTAGCTGGAGAAGTTTAGGCGACTTAACGACACTAAATATATAAAGGAGTATTTAAAACAAATTAGATATGACACCTTCTCTATTTTACCTAAAAATTCCAGCTTGTTTATTTTACTATTCTCTCAAAGAAAGAGATACTTACTAGTTATTTGAAGATCATTGCATTGTGTCTAAATAAACTAAGCAAATTAAAGCATAAACAGATAACATTTTATTTACATAATAGTGAAATAATTTAAAAAGGTTCGTTGCAACAATCAAAAACAGTTTTATCATAATAACTCAATTTTGTTATAGGAAAGATTAGTAAGTATAAGATTATCATAGAACTCCTAGGAATAATTAGAAATTGATCTTTTTTGTTTTAAAAGAAATTGTCGAATTGTTGAAATCGCTTTTAAAAGAACTAGGATTTACATATCACATATTAGAAGTTATCATTACAACACTCCATTGCTTTTGTTAATTTCTTGTCTTGTCAAAGAAATGCAAAGGTAGTACCATTTTTTCATATGTTTAGAGTTTTATGGTCACATTTGATTTGAAATTTGCATCTCTCAAACAATTGCCTGCCCTAAGCCTAATTAACCATAACAATCTATTGAGATAAATAGACAAGTGAAACATGAAACCAAAAGATACAAAACTGCAAAACTGCCATCATGAAATGAGTCATATATAGTTTGTAAATATTGTCTTATTGTATGTAAATGGATAAAAGAAATCACTTTACAAGAGCAGGTTCGTAACGACTTTATGACATTTCACCTTTATTTTAAATTATAATATTAGAACAAAAGAACAATTAAAAGCGATAAAAGAAGAAACAAAATAAATCCTGTTTAATCTACTTTATTTATTATCGAAACATTACCTCACTGTTGTAATAAATTTTGTTAATTTAAAACTTAACAGTGCATTTATATTCAACATGAACAAACGACTTATTGAAAATAGAAATGTAATCGACGAAACATTTCTTCTATCCACTACATCAATAAAAGGTGTTTGAACCTGCAAACAGTATTGTAATATCATAAATATTATCATAAATAACGATATGGATACCTAAATCAATCTACTATAATTGTGCAAAAAATTGAACAATCAAAAGCAATAAACATTATTTCTCAGTCATGAAATGACATAACTAAATGGTAATAAGAACATTCTTATTCTTAAATTCTCCATCTTACTTTTGTTACAATACATCGCAATTGATATGCAACACAATCGATAAAATTCTATTGCATTTTCTGTCCTTTTCAATTTTTGCTTTATCTTACAAAGTGATATGATAATCAAATAACGGCATCTTTATAACCAAAATAGACAGTGCAAATTTTAAAATTTGATGGTTTAATTCGTGATTGTTTAAATTTAACGAAATGAAGACAAATGCAAATAAGACATTAGAATCATTAACACCAACAAAAGTAACTAAACAATTAACAAAATGGTATGATTGAATTTTTTTAATCTAGTTCAGTTTGGTACTGTCTTTTTGGTACCAGTTTAGAAACGAAACAATTAATCAAACAAAAGCAAACAAATACAATGTTTTGTTAACAAAGTACATTTTTTATTTTAATCGATTTTTGTCTAAACCACAGATGAAAATAACTCTGTAATAAGACTATTTTAGCAACATTTATTTAATGCTTTTCAATGGATTATTGAAATATATCAGTAGATTAAATCCTGATAATCTCACTGTTTCAAACAGTGAAATTATCATTTTGATAATTTCACTGCTACGGAACTACTTTTTCCCCTTCAATGAACCCCATATACATGTACAAAAGTACAACTTGAGTTGTCTCCCTTCTATTTACTCTCTTTATTTACAAACAACAAATTACATGTACTTCCTCTTTATTCATTTACTTCCTGTCGTCTGCAAAAATGGAAGAACTTGCAAATTTGGATGCTTCTGCCCTAGATGATATTTTTAATAACTTCTATGATAAAGAAGAGTATGGAGATTTTCAGGTTGCAAACAGAAATTTTAGGGAAATTGATCCTGATGACTTCCTGTTAGAAAATGAAAATAAAAATACAAAAAGAAAAACAGAAAGTGACATGAAATTGTTTATGTCATTTTTGATGGCAAAAAATGAAGCCAGGTTGCCAGAGTACATACCTCCAGATGAACTAAATCATCTTCTCTGTACATTTATTTTGGGCTTTACCAAAAAGATGGTTCCGAATATGAACCGACAACAATCAGAGGATTTATCAGCTCAATTGATCGTCATTTGAAATCAAAATCAAGTCATGTATCCATTTTTAAAAATGTAGAATTCTCTAAAACAAGAGCTGTATTAACAAAAAAACAACAGCAGCAACTCAAGAGTCTAGGATTGGGCAACAAACCAAAAACTGCAGAAGTGTTGGGTGATGCGACCCTGGATAAAATGTATGAAAATGGTACACTTGGTGATGGCAATCCAAGAGCGTTAATACATTCCATGTGGCTTATTTGTACAAGTTATTTTGGCATGCGAACAGGCAAAGAATGCCATGACCTCTGCTGGGGAGACGTACAATTATGTATCGACGAGGTGACGGGGCAAGAATTTTTAATGTATGACAAAGAGAGACAAACAAAAACAAGATCAGGTTGTAACCCTCGAGATACAAGGTATAAAACTATAATACAATTTTTCTTCTAAATGATTAAAAAAATATCATATTTCTTATTCAACATTATTTCTAAAGTATTTTTAACTTTAATTTCAACAAGAAGACAGCAAGGATAGTTGTATCCAAACTGGGACTCGAACCCAGATCTTTTGCCGTTGACAAATGTCCTTTCATTGGACCATTCGGATGTACTACCACTGCCTGTTGTTAAAATTTAAAGAAAAAACACTTATTTTACTTCACAATTTTAAGTTTAAAAAACAGTAATCATTTTTATTTATAATAACGAAACAATATGAATGTGTACTTTATATTTATAAATTGACAATTTGCAGAAAAAATGTACTCAAAGTCTCAATTTGCAGAAATTGTGCTCAATTTGCAGAAATAATACTCTATCTTATGCGGTGTTTTTTTCTTTATATAACTACTACCCTAAAATGGTACCGTTCCCAATAGAAAAAAGACATTATAATTCCCAATTTCCCAATGTTTAAATTTCCAAAATGGCTTTTCAAAATTCCCACAAGGCCAAGTAATTTCTCTGAAATCATTTTAATCCAACATATTCATATAAATCACCACTTCATAGTTCTACCTGGACAGTGGAAGCTGTTAGCTATCTTTATTCATGATGATTAATCTCATTTGTAGCTGAAAAATGGATTAAAAAATATTCCCAATAGAAGTCAAAATAACGCATTTTTTCCCAATCAGTCCGGTACCGGCACCATTCTCAAAGTAGAGAAAAAAAACACTGTCATGATACAGTCAAATTTGTTAGCAATGGCCATTCGAGAGAATGTGACCTTTATGCACAAGTAGCCGTTATTCAATCAAATAGAACCTTTGTAGCTCTATATATTGCCTATAATTATGTATTGGTTAGTGACCTTGACTTATAGTATGGCCAGCCGCCTTAATTTGCAGGTCATTACTATCATAGTTTTGACTGTAATACTTATTTTGTAAAATCTAATAAACTAAGACCACAAAATAAAGTATTTTTGCTCATATCTTTTTCAACAATTTTCATACCTTAGAATCTATGTAATTATTTTTTTATGTTTTCAAAATTTATTTATTTAACAAATTTTATGTTAAAGAACTGTAAAACCAAAGGCATTTGGCAATGATGAAGACACACGAAAATGCCCTATTCACCTCTACAAGATGTACCGAGATAAAAGACCAGAGAGCATGTGTTCGGATGAAAGTCCTTTCTTTCTGACACCAGGCGGAGGCACTCAGAAGAGCTGGTATAGAAAAGCTCCAATGGGGATCAACAAACTATATAACATCATGAATGATATGAAATCAGACGCCAAACATTACAAATTCAAGAATTACCCCATATAGGTAGAGATTTTTTAATTTAAATTAATTATATAAAAAAAATATCACAAAACAAATATTACATAAATTACATTTCAGTATTGTGGTTGATGATCAACCACAATACTGAAATGTAATTTATGTAATATTTGTTTTTTTTCGGGATGTTACTGTAAAACTGAAATGATTTCATTTCCCAAATTGATACATTAAATTAATAATTACCATATAAACATAGCTCAGTTGCAGTGAATTTTTAGTGAAATTTTTTGTTTTAAATTTTTTAAAATTTAATTTTTCATTCATTATTTTTTGCTATAAATAAAAAGAATGTACTGATTTGTCAATTAAAGGTGAGCCCCAATTTCACAACCACTCTCCAAAGCTGTACTTTAAGTGGAAATTTTTCATTTGAAATTATGTTGTATTTTCATTTGTCATAAATTTAACTAATATAAATAGACGAAATTGTCAATGCTATGTCATGGTTCCAATTTTAATGAAGATGTCACAAAATTGATGCAATGCCAGGGCTCTCCTGTGGTAAAATTTGGGGCCGAATATCGGCCCCATTCCCCCACCCAAAAAGTGCGTTTTTTTCCCCTAAAACCAAAAAAAAATCCCCCTTGAAATTAATATTTAACTGGCATAGAAAACGCCGATTGGCGAATATATATTCCGCAAACGGCAACCGGAAATTAGTATGTATTCCGCGGACGGCAATCGGAAATTAGTATATATAGAGGATATTTGTTTAGTTCAGTGTAAGATCGGAATATATTTCACCGAGTGAGCACCAAAAGGTATATTTCACGAGTGGCGCAACTAAACAAATTTTCTTTTTATTACATGCAAAGAAACGTTTTAAAAAGACAATAAATCTAATAATTAATGAAAAGCGCGCCAAATAATAATGCAACGTGACGTCATTTACGACGTCACGTCATTAAGTTGGTACCCAGTACTGTGCACGCTGCTATTTCACTGAAACAACGTAAGGGGCTTAAATTCAAAACAGTGAAATTATCAAAGTGGTAATTTCACTGTTTAAAACAGTGAAATTACCCGTTTTATATCACTGATATATTTTCTATAAACCACCGAAAAGCATGTAATAAATATAAATATGACGTTCTGGACAGTTTGTAGCATTCCAAAATGTCTTACTAAAAAAAAATTCCCCCCTTGAATGAAAAATATTTGAAAAATCATGCAAAATCCCCCCCCCCCCCCCCCTGCATGGACCCTGGCCCCAGTCTCAAAATGCTAACGAGAGCCCTGCATGCATGTGTGTAAATGTATGGATTAAACTTATCCTGGATTAAATAATTGTTGAAATTGGGGCCCGTTCGTGGAAGTTCTAGTTCAGGGGACCTTGTGAAATTACATATAAATCAGGACAATCGTTTTCATTTTTTAGTTAGGCCAACACCCAATATTCAGGTCTAGGAAACCCTTAAATTTACAAATGATTTGTATACCGGTATTTACAAATCATTTGTAAATTGAAAGATTTTTCAATTTACAAATTTAGCATGCAATTTTCTTAACAAAACCTAAACAGGTAAAGGGCGAAGGGGCTTAACTAGTAGACATCTTGACACAATTTTGCAAAGTTTCAATAAATTTTAATAATTTTGATATAAATTATAGTTTGCTGCTAATCTCGTGTTAAATCTAATTCCGCAGTATCATACGTCATTATTTTCGAAAACAAAATTCTGCAATGACACTTACCATGAATGTAAAAGTGCGCTAATTTTAACACCTATCTATTTTCATTCAAATTTCTCTAAAATCAAGTGCAGCAAAAATTGTTAGTAAACAGGTTTTTGATTATAAACTGTATAAATAAAAATTTATAATCAATTTAAAGACAAATCATGACTTTTGATCAACATGTAATAAATTTATGTGAAACAAAACAATAAATTTAGTAGAAAGAATCATTTAACAACAAAATAAAATATTATACCTCATTTGCATGTATACGCCCTTCTATATTGAATATGACGTCATCCAGGCCATATAAGAATTATGGACCGGCCCCGGTCTCTATGCGGTTTATGGACCGGATGACGTCATATTAAATTTAGAAGGGCGTATGCAAATGAGGTATAATATTATTTTATATGTACCACGGAAATACACACATTATACTTTGATTTTTTTTAAAAGCGTAGTCAACATTTTTAAGCGAAACCTTCTGTAACAGTGCAAGCTTGTAAATTAAGGGGTTTCCTAGAGTCTAGACATGATATTTATATTGAAAAAGTAAAAAAAAAAAAAAAAAAAAAAAAACAGTTAAAAAATATATACAAGCTCATAAGGGTTCACAAAACTAGAACTTATTCATGCGACCATGTAGTATGACTATGTTAGTTTTCAAAGTGTGTTTTTTCTAAATTTGTTTTGTTAAATTACAGTTCAAGGAAGAGACTGATACAAAAACTCCAAGACGAGGAGTTCCAGCAAATCAAATAGTACAGATATCTGGGCACAAGAATATCAACTCAATCAACAACTACAGCAAAATTAACAATGATCAATCAAAGAACATTTCTGACATATTATCAAATAAAATCAGTAACACTCACTCAGATCTCCAAGTTCGAAGTTCAACTCCAAAGTCTGCATCCATGACCATGTCAGATTGTGTTCGTGCAGGTGACAATAATGGAAAGCCTCCACAGGGTTTATTTGCATACAGTCATTTCAACGGCAATGTAACTTTTAATTTCAACAGCTCAATTTCTGAAAGCCTATCCCAAATGTCAGCCGTAACACTGAATCGTAACACCAGCTCCGCCTCTGGATCTGCAGTCGTTGACCCGTGTTCGCCGATAATTAGGCCATACAAACGTATCAGGATGCTACCTGACAGTGACACTGATTCTAATTAATATGAATTAGGCAAATAAATGTACTGTTATGTTGTTCGTTCACTAGTTTGATTTAAATCCTTGTTTTTGTTTATAATTCCCACACACGTTACGAATGAAAAAAAAAATGGCGGATTGAAATGAACTGACTTCGATTCACGCGCAGTAATTCAGTAGCTTTATCAGCCTAAAACTGTTGTTTACTCTGAATAAATTTACAAAACGATTTCTTTTTTCTGTTTGACATAAAATAATAAATGAATAAAACCCTGTCTAGTGAATTATATATTGAAAATGAAAGTTTATCTGGAACTATTTTTATTACGAAATATACATGTGTTACCACGTGAAGAGGAAGGAAAAAGTGGGGCTCCAAACGGGGAACACTCGGATAGGTAAAACATTAAAAATGAGAAATAATTCAATTAATCCATTGAAAAGCATGAAATAAAAAGAAAATTTGTTTGCTTTTGGTGTAAGATCGAAATTTATTTCATCTCGTGATGGCAAGGATTAAATATTTTCACTCGTGGCTGCGCCACTCGTGAAAATATTTATCCTTGCCATCACTCGATGAAATAAATTTCGATCTTACACCAAAACAAACAAATATCCTCTATATATTTTATCATCTTGATTTGCCTTTGTTTGAACCTTTTTACATATATCACAGGTATTTTCATTGTGCATTTATATTTTGTTCTGGCGATAGTGCACGAAAAGGGCCAGAAAAATAGAGGAAAATATTTAAAATTGCTTTCTTATTGTTAGTTTATGAAACAAACTTATAATATTGTAACACGAAGATATAATGTTAAAAAAAGTTTTAATTATATATAATTGATCTTACTTACTCAAATCATGCTAAAATTATATTTTTACAAGCCCTAGCATGAATTTCTGTATAAATACTATATATTCTGGGCTTGAAGCGTAATTATATATTTATATGTTGAACGAAAATAATACGCCGACAGAGTCACCTAATAGATTTAAAACAAGTCATGTAACCAGAAAAAAAACTCTGGAAATTACAATAACATATATTGTGGATATTGTTAGATTGAGATAAGTCTTGGATATTCATTTGACATGTACTTTAACGGTTTCATAGTTCTCTATAACTATTGTGAAATCTAAATGCCTAACCTGACCCACGTGAGTCTACTTGGGAAACCAAATTTTATTCTTTAAAAGGAGAAAAGTTGTTTTCAGTGTGTTCATTTGAGGACATTTATAGAATATAAAACGAGAACTTTAAATAGAAGAAATGAAAAAAACTGCCCGTATCTCCATTTAAATTTGGTAAATAGACAACATTTACCATATAATTGACAAAAAAACTTGAAAAGAAACTCTTAGGAGATTTTATAATACAAATTATCGATGTAGTCTGACATACAATGACGTATAAATCTTATAATCGTAGGTAATCCATTAAATTTAGTGACGTAACTACAATTATAAACAGTCTTTTTTTCAACAATTATAATTTTATCTAGAGTAGAATACTCTCCAATGCATATCATCAAGAACTATAACAGAAATGAGTTTCAAACAAATTCAGTATTGATGTAAATACACAGTAATACTATATGTCCGTGAAGTACGCGGGCTAACGGGCTAGCAGTCTACCGGGCTAACAGTATGAACTGAGCGGGCTAGCAGTCTAGCGGGCTAACAGTGTGAACTGGGCGGGTTAGCAGCCTAGCGGTTCTAACAGTGTGAAGTGGGCGGGCTAGCAGTCTAGCGGGCTAGCAGTGTGAACTGGGCGGGCTGGCGGGCTAAAATCTAAAACTTTATTGATTGAACATTAAAATGTTATGATACATTACCTGGCAGTGTGAAGTGGGCGGTCTAATAGTGTAGCGGGCTAGCAGTGTGAACTGGGCGGGCTGGCGGGCCAGCGGGCTTCAATCTAAAACTTTATTGATTGAACATAAAAACGTTTATGATACATTACCTGGCAGTGTGAAGTGGGCGGGCTAGCAGTGTGAACTTGGCGGGCCAGCGGGATAAAATCTAAAACTTTTATTGATTGAACATAAAAACGTTATGATACATTACCTGGCAGTGTGAAGTGGGCGGGCTAGCAGTGTAGCGGGCTAGCAGTGTGAACTGGGCGGGCTGGCGGGCCAGCGG